TAAAATTGGCAATTGTTCAGGCTTCTACGAGAGGCGGCTACAGAACACCACCAAATCAGCAAGAAGGAGACTTTAGTTACCCCAACATCCCAAACGAAGCTGCTCTACTCACCTCCCCTAATGTTCAAGCCCCCCCCCCAAACCCCTGCCACCCCCAAAAAAATAAAAGTTCCCACGATAGTATAGCATAATGCACGGGGAGATTTTACTTTGAGGCCTGAGCCCCAAACCCTAAGTGGGGGGGGGTTAATCATAGGCACCGAGGGGACTTGATCATCCCAGCGGCTGTTGCCTCAACCAGGCTGCAAGGAAGCCGCCAGCGAAGAAATCTCCGGCGCCGGTGCTGTCCACAACCTGAGCCCAGGGTTTTGCATCAAAAAGCTGTGGGGGTTTAGGGTTTGCGGTTTGGGGGTTTAAGGTTTGGGTGAAAAGCTGCGGAAGAAGTTCAGTTGTACAACACTAAACGGTACATACTTGCAAAAGGCGAAGGTATCCTGGACCTGATCAGCTTGTTTAGGTATCCTGGACCCGATCAGCTTGATTGTTTTGACCCAGCAGTAGACTTGGTAGTGTCCAGAAATTGGGGGATCCTTTATACTTCCGTGATATACCCCCTCAAAATAGTCCTTACTAAAAGGACCCCCCAAACAGGACCCCTCATTTCCAGAAACCGCAATATTTCTCAGCGATACCTGATTATAGTTTCCCTTAAGTAGATAGAATATGGGGTATATGGGGATCTTATTATAATATACCCAAAGCCATATTCTATCTACTTAAGGGGGAATATGTTCTGAGTCCAGGCTGAAGTTGGGATATTGCTTGGTTTTGGGTCTTGGCCGAGACTTTATTGGGAACCATGCACCTGAACCACATTAGCTAAAGTCTACACTCCTGAAAGGGGGTTATATAGGGGTATATATGGGCGACTACTATAAGGGATATTATGGAGGATACTAGGACTCTAGACTATAGCTCACATGAAGATAGATAAAGCTTCGTTGGGGCCCTAAGCCCTATACCCTAAACCGCCTCGCATAGATCTACGTCGGAATCTACGTCTAAACCCTTCAACATCCTCTTGCGGCACTTGAAAGGTGAGGCGGATTCAGTGGATAGACTAATGAACCTTTTTTCTGCGTGTAATAATCCTAGTTCTCCCCATTCTTAATCTACTTTCCAATTCCCCTTGACGCTCCAAGGGAGATTGGAGCCCCGAATCCAAAACACGTAGGTCCCCCCAGCTTAAATTTAGTCCGCAGCTCATTTTTTTTGGGTGTCCACTCTTCAAGATGGGTCCTCCTGATACTAGCTACCAGCCGAGTTACCATGTTCAACTGTAATGTTGCTATCGGGACCAACCGCAACGGAGAAATCAACAAATCACCCATGTGGGAGCGTTGCAACTTGATCTGCATCTTATCCTTCAGACGGATCCCATCATCTCCTTGCGACCATAATCACCACGTATCCCCAAAACCCCCTTTTCCGAGAAATCTCATAGGAGCCAGAGTCTAAAGTCCTTAAAGGGGGTTACATAGGGGACTATATAGGGGATTACTATGGGGGTTATTAAGGGGGATACTAGGAATTTAGACAATGGCTCATATGAACAACGGAAGCGCCCCGGCCTCGTGAATGGCTTCCACACTATTGAATTCCACCTCAGATGTCCCTTCAGCCAAGACAACTAGGAAAATGGCTGTGGTGGGCGGTTTGGGGTTTAGGGCCTCCGCACAGCTATGGTTTTTGAGAGACGCGCAAGAAATATCCAAAGTTTTAGCAGGTGGGCTGTTTCAAGCAGATTCCTGACGTGTTGTAGTTCTGGGGACCCCTACTTTCTTGGATCAGTTTTGTATCTGTTCATTCTTCCAGGTGATACAAGACAACTGCGAATCAGACTGTTTACTTTTGCCCTTGAATTCCATCGTTGCGCTAGCTTGTGGTTCTGGGGGCCACTGCAGTGAGGGCCTTTGCTATGAGACGGACTGCGACTGCATGCTCTGGGTGGGTGTCATCCAAGTGAGAAACATAATCCAACAAAGAGATGGATAGTTATATCTGCTTACGGATCCTATGTCTAAGGGCCACATTATTTGTGAGACCAGGGAGGGACCACGACTTTGATAATGTATGATAAACTTCCCTCTGACTGAAAGGCCCCGACGACTACTCTTGAACCCTAATTTTGGAAGAAAAACTAGCCCCATGCCCACAAGAAGCTTAAAACAAACCCAAAGCCTTAACAAAGATCCCGACCTTTAAAGCATAAACCCTGAACCCTTAACTTTCCCAAGCCCTTGACCCTTAACCCCTAGGCCCTTAACCCCCTAGACCCTAAAACCATAAACCCTCCACCCTCAAGCAGAAGGCCATCCACCTCGCCACCATTGGCGACGTAGAGGCCTTTGGAGCCCAAAGTGAGCACCTGGGTGGCCATGAAGCATCCAATTACTAACTCACTGGCTGCAAATGGCAACAGCCGGGCTATGCAGGGTTTAGGATTTAGGGATTAAGGGTTAAGGGGTCAAGGATTAAGGTTTAGGTTTTAGGGTCTAGAATTTGGGGTCTACGGTGTTAGGGCTAGGGTGTAGGGTTCGGGTCTCTGGTTTTGGGTCTAGGGTTTAGGGAATAGGGTTTGGGGTCTGGGGTCTGGGGTTAGGGGTTAGGGTTGGCGGTATGGTCAGCAGAATAGTATCCCTTTTGGCTGCTCTTTTTGAATGGATTTTGGGTCGCTAAGCCCTAAACCCTAAACCATTATGTGACCTACTGTTGAAGTTGTGGGATGGCGGGCTAGAAACTTAAACAAGTACCGATAACAAAGAATGAGTTGGACAAATAACAGGAAGCTGTCATTTCATGGAGGTTTTACAGGGGGCTACGGGGCATGAGGATATGGATGAAGTAGGGGATGGCAATGAAAGGTTGAGGGCCTGGGATTGTGGGATGGACGGTTTAGGTCTAAAAGCTGAGGGTTTGAGGTTTCTAATCTATGAAGTAGGTCATTAGCAGGGATACTTACATATAGCTAATACCGGTTGTTCATATACTCACCCGATCCTCTTGACCATGCAAGAGGGTCTTTACTTGGAGGGTCAGGGGGATTTAGTAAGTGGGTTAATAACATAACTCTTGAAGTCTATGAGCCATAAAACATACCCAGTTATCCCGGTTATAGACCTACTTACCAAGCCACCCCTGACCCTTTAACCGTAAACACTAAACTCTGTTCTAAACCCTCAGTTAGCTAGGGATTGAGGATGTCGGACTTAGGATTGAGGGTGTCAGGTTTGCTGCATAGGGTTTGGGGCCTTTGGGGCTGTGAACAGGCTTGAACTATTTAGACCGACTACCTCGGGGTTTAGGGTTTAGGGCTTCGAGTTTAGGGTTAAGCGTATCTAGTAGCTAATATAACTTCATGGGATTCCGAGGCGCAACAACGAAGATTCCTATACATCCACGTAGGAAACAGAAAGCCCGTGTAAAGAGACCACTACTCTGTCTGCATAAGGTGGGGAATCTAGGCATAAACGCTTCCAGAAAGACGGTCTTGATTTCTGGAAGGTGTGTAGGGCGCTATGTGATCTCTAGGAGCTCCTGCATGCTTTGATCAGTACATTAAAGGAGGTGCGCATGGGAAAATGCAGATGGCTTCACGAGTAATTTCTTTTGCAACAAGGTATGTCGAAATGTGCGGAATACCAGGGCCAAACGAGGCCAGTACCGCTCGGACTGTGGCATTAGCTTTCATACTGGGATTAGAAAGGATCATGTCCGAATTATGTAGGAGCAATACCGGGCTTCCGAATATTGGGGGATGCCCTCTCCGGGGCTGTTTCTCAATCCTTCTAAGAGCTGGAATGGGGCGATTTCAGAACAACTTTCGATATAAACCAGGATTTAGGGGGTGAGGTCGCAAATCAAAATCCAAGACCGTAAGCCCTATGAATCCTGAACCGTACACCCTGAGCCCTAAACTCTGCTTACAGCCCGCCATTCACTTTCATATTATTCCCCAAACTTAAGAAGCCCTTAACAAATCAAGAAGACTTGTGTCACCAAAAGGGCCTACTTCAAGTGCGGAGCATTTAAGCCTCGCAAGCCGCAGATCTTTGACCCAAAGCGCTGAAGCCTAAACCCACCATTATCTTAAATCCTAAGGGCCCATGCCCCCAATAATTAGGTTCCTGGGTTCGGGCTACTAGTACTTGTATTACAGGTTTTGGGGAAGTATTGATGGGCGGGTCTTGGATGCTTTGTGTTAGGGGCTTCCCAAAAGTCGGGATACCTTTTGGGGCGTTCATCTTGGGTTCCCTAATTTTGGTAGGCTACCGGTTCTGTATCTACTTGAGTCATGTGCGAGAGGCGACAAGCTGGCAGAACTCTGAGAGATTCGCGCAGACTTCGCGAGGGCTCGCGTCCTGATCTCAAGTAGCCCTCATACACCCAAACAGTCCCAATATAGCAGCAGTATAAGTATCAATTCATAGAGTGAGGGAGTATATGCTATTGGGAGGGCGGGTGTGAGTAGTGGAATGATGTTTTCCTCCTACTTGGCGGTTCATGTCACATAGGATATCTATGACTACAACTAGCTGTGACTTCACTTAAGGTTCTCAGCACTTGAAACTCTATTTCAACCCATAAAACACCAACCTGCGCCGTTCGCCCGTCCAGTTTTAAAAGTCTGTGTTGGACATGTCCATGCTGATTGGTGTTTCGGGTCTTATGGGTCGAGAGGCTGTGGGAGTGTAGGGCTGAGGAGGTTAGAGTTCAGGGATGCTGGTGAACAATATTCAAAGAGGATTCGTGGACTGTGCTCGCGTTTCAGGCTTTGTGGGGGGTCTAACCGTTTGGGGATACACAGAGTTGCTTTGAATTTGACAAGTAGCCCTATGTCTCAGGCTTTGACAGCCAGGGGTGCATGATATAGGAATTTATGGAGCATGGACTTTCTATGTAATCAGCGTGCATGGGCAAATAAACATTCCATTTTGGTTGCTGGTACCGAAATTTGCCACTCTTCGGCGTCCAAGATTCTATGCCAGGCGCTTGAGGGGTCACTCTTGAAGATCTACATGATGCGAAGCTTCGATCGCAATTCTGTCTTTAAGCGCTGGCCTCGCTGAATAGCGCTTTTGCTTCGTCCTCGTTGAGCATGATGACCTTTAAGCAGTTTTTGAGTCGGTGCTTTCCAAAGATGTAAAACCTACATACCGTGTGGGGATTACCAGGGGATGCTGCGGCGTCTATGTGCAAACGGAGGAGCTTGCTGGGGAAACTAGGAATGTGCCAATGTACATACTGTTTTTAAGCAAAAAGAACGAGCACAATGTTGCTCAAGATTGGAGCTGTCGTGCCCCCCGGATTCAGGGTAAAGGCCAGGGTGAACGGGTGAACGTATTAACATTTGCCGCCCAAAGACTTGGTCTTGTGACAACTGCAGCGGTGCAACTCATGCCTTATCTTGTTTTTCAGATGTATTCCCACCATTGCCCATTGCCTCGAAGCTGGTCTTCTTCTTGCAGCATGCTTTCATTCAAAAAGAGCCCTAAACCCTAAAACCCTGCAAGGGCCATCCATAGCCCCATACCTAAGGACAACCAAAGTCTAAGGTTGAAACCATGGACCCCTAGTATGGGCCCTTAACCCTGGGATCCTTATATACCTACTATATACCCTATATGTACCCTTAAGGGTCCCTAGAATCCCCCTAGAAGGCCTAAGGGGCCATATTAGGGACCCATACTTCCTAAACCCTACTAAGACCTCTATCAGGCCTAGGCCTCCCTAAGGCCCCACATGGTCTACTATGGCGAGGCCCCTGTAACATGAGCCAACCTAACACATCAAGTAACAAAAAAACCTATAATATGGTTTCCATTGTCTTTTCCATTATCACCTATATAATCCCTATAACCCTAAACCCTAAACCCTTATCCCCTATATAACCCCTATATTGTCTAGTTCCGTGCTGCTCCTTGTATGAGGCCTATGCAAACTTGCCACAGCGCAGGATTCAATAAATTCCAAGAGAATATGTTGGTAGTTGCTTTCTTCAGGACGAGATGCTCCTAGCAATAATCGCGGTCATGAATGCCGGGGGGGGAGGAAATTTTGACAAATACAAAGACGAGCCCTTCGTAATGCTTCAGGGGTATTCCTTGCTGGCCTCTACACACATATCACAAATAAAAACATAAATACATAAATGCATATTCATTCCTGAATAGGCACCTAACAGGACCTGAATTTTGAGAGCCTCCTCAGTAACCTTCTTTGTTGTAAGTGACCAGACTACTGGTCCCCACGACAAGCTTCTAAACCCTGCACCCTGAAGCCTGAACCCTAAAGCCTACATCCTGAAACCCAAGCTTTCTGCAAGGAACTTCTCCAGCACGTTCCTCGCACGTTCCTAGCTCTTTAACCTACCTAAAACAAATCGATATGGAGCATCAAGGCCATGATGCTACCCAATTGCTGACTTCCATGGGTCCCACGAAAAGGCTAATTACATGTCTTGGCCGGTACGAGGATTTAGAGGGACTTCGTAAGTGGGTTATAGTGGGTTCATCATGGGGATAACTGGGAATGTGGCTTGTAGGGGCTATCCATCTACCTACTAGCTCCCCCTGAACGCTAATGCCAAAACTCCGAACTACAAAGTAGCTTCCATTTCCTTATTATTAACCTACTTACTAAGTCTCCCTGACCCTCCAAGTACGGCCTGCACCTAATCCCTGAAGCCTACACCCTACCTAGACCCTCCAATGTAGTACCTTTTTGGTAGTCCTAATAAGAGTCCTAACCAAAAAACCATAACAAACCCAAAAAGGAACTACATTGGAGGGTTCAGGTAGGCCCTAAACCGCATCCGAGCCGTGGGCATCGAAGAGAGGCTCTCTAAGGAGCTGCCACAGTCTCTCGCGCCTTGGAAGTCTAGGGATTCAGGGGTTTAGGGTTTGGGGGTTTAGGTGTTGAGGGGTTAGGGGTTTACGGCTCTAGGTCTTAGGGGTCTCTGGTTTAGGGTTTAGGGCTTAGGAGTTTCTGGTTTAGGGCTTAAGGTTTGGGCAGCTTCTCAAGCAAGGAGGGCCTGACGGGATGTCTAAAAGGAATAATTATGGAAGTTGTTTTGAGACATGCCCAACTGGGCTACTTGGAGGGGCAGGGGGCCTTAATAGGTATAGGGTTCTAATTCAGGGTTTAGGGCTTAGGGTCAGAGGGAAAGAAAGTAGGTTCACAATGCGGAGAATGGACGTCATTAGATGGCTTATCGGGGTCGTGAAGCTACTTGCTAAGTCCCGCTGACCCTCCAAATAGGCGGTCCAAGTTGAGGGCCTAGGGTTTGAGGTCGAATGCTTAGAGTTTTGGCTCAGGGTTTGGGGCTCAAGGTTTTGCGTGAAGTGTTCAGGGCTTAAAGGCTTAGAGAGGTTTAGGGCTTGTAAGCCCTAAACACTAAACCCTACATGGGGTCCAGCCAGTCTTTTGCCTGGATTTACGGCTAGGTTTGGGACTTAGGTTTTGTAGGCGCCTAAGCCCTAACCACTGCTGCTTGCGTCACAAGTTTGGTTTGAGGATTCAGGGTTCCAACGGGGAGAAAGAGGTGTTGGTGCACGAGGCTGGTATAAGGGTTGTGTGGGGATTACATGAGCTGAAGTCAAACTCCTAGTATCCCCCTAGATAAACCCTATAAGATTCCCCTATGTACCCCTTAAAGGAGTTTAGACAATAGCTCACATGGCTCTTGGGAGTTACAGGGTGTCTTATGTCTCCAGAAACGCACTCTGCACGATGAGCTTCCTTGACTGAATAAGATTTACCGGACGGTTGCAGTCTTACTCATCCCTAAGGGTCCAAGGACCCAAACAATAGGGTTTTAGGGCCCAAATACCTAAACCCTAAACCCTAAACCCTATATTGTGGTATTTGGGCCCTTAAACCCTTTTATTAGGGTCCTTGGACCCTTATGGCATGTTTTCGGGTTGCCGCAAGAGCCCAGCCCGAAAGTCCCCCATCGACGCCCTGACATAACCTGCCTCTAAGATAAGTTTCGCCTCCTAAGAGTGGAAACACAAGCGTTCATCATGTGCAGACGCCGCTTGAGTTCAAAAGGACCCCTAAGCCCTGAACCCTAATTAAACCCTAAACCCTGAACTCTAAGCCCTAAACCCTGAATCCTAAGCTCTAAACCCTGAACCCTAAGCCCTAAACCCTGAATCCTAAACCCTAAACCCCTCCCTAGCATGTCCACAACCCGTGTCCCCGGCTGAGCGCAGACGATGCCGCTGGAGCCCAAGTTTATGCCTGCCTTGTGTTTGCACTCCAAGTTTCCAGGCTTTTGGATACAACAACTAAAGCCCTAAACCCTGAACCCTAATAACAGTGATAATAACAATACGGCATCCGTATCATTATTGTTATTAGGGTTCAGGGTTTAGGGCTTTAGTTGTTGTACCAATACTAGCATTACGAATAACAGTAGTGTTATGAATAACAATCAAACCGTTCAGATGCTAAACTGTCGGGCCTAAAGCCCAATTCGAGTACTTGGAAAGGCCGGGGTCCCAAAGTTTTATTGTGCTTGTTGTGTTGTACGATTGTTGTTGCTTGAGACTGGGAGCCACCAGATTTTTGGGTACCCATTGGGGTAATATTGGGGGTAGATTTGGGGCTGGGAAAATAAAAAGGAAACTGCTCTTTGTGGTTTAGGATTTGGGGGTGATTAGGGGTGGATAATAGCCTCTCCAGGGCCCTGCGTTAGCTTGGGGAGCACACTCACCCCTTCTCACTAACCCCTCCTCCCTAGATCATAACCCCTAGATTCGAATCAAGAAACCCAAAATCCTGAACCCTAAGTCCTAGCTCCTAATCCTGAAGCCCAAATTCCTGAACCCTAATCCCCGAGACCCTCCTTCTACCCTCTATTAGGGCCTAAGTACCCACTATTAGGGACCATATATCCCCAATTAAGGGTACAAGGAGAACCCTAATCCCTAAACCCTTAGATGCCGGCCTGGGCGCCGAGGCGACGAGCTTTGCGCAGACCCTCCTCCAACACAGGATGGTTTGGGGGTTTAGGGTTACTTAGAGGGTCTAAGGTTTGGGTTTAGGGGGGTTCAGGGTTACTTAGGAGGTCTATAGGGTTTAGGGTGGGTTTAGGGTTACTTAGAGGGGCTAGGGTTTAGGATTTAGGGGCGGAGGGGGGGGGTTAGGGTTACTTAGATAGTAAGCAGGTTACTGTAAGAAATCCCATAAGGCATGTAATAGCCCCAGTTATACCCATTATCTGCCTAGAAGTACTAAGTGCCCCTGACTTTGCAGGTCAAGTTAGGAGTGCAGGGCTTTGGGTTTGGGGGTCAACCCTGTGGATCTATAAGTCTACAAATAAAGCCAACACCCTAAACCAGGTTTGGATTTTTACCTAGGGTAAACAGAATCAAAGAGCACTCTAAAAGGAGCCCTAGGAGGGTAAGTGCTCTTTGATTTCTTGGATTTATATCCCTATTATGGTCATAAAATCCTAGCCTGCCCTAAACCCTAAACCTATAGTTTTGGTTTAAGGGGATAAGGTCTGTTTGGGGTTTGGAGCTTGATCGATACTTGGAGTGTAGACATTCTTTTCTATGGAGGGCGCTAGGCACAGGGGCCCGTGAAGGCTCTTTGGCATGCTAGGTCTTACTGGTGCAGTATTGAAAGTGTTGGAGCTGTTTCTGCTGGATTCGGGGCTCGCGGTGTATGGCTTTGGTGGGGAGAGGCCCCAATCAGGGATAGGGGCCTCTTCTGGATTCAGTGCGCTGACGGGTCAATGACTAAACGCTTCCAGACTGACTTGTCATTGAACTGCCCTTGAACCTAGAACCCAAAAACTTGCATGAGTCTTTAAAAGTCTACAGAGATTGGATTCGGTAGTGTGGTGTGGTCTGACACGGTTACAGTATCTCTGGGGCAGGGCGCTACCCCAAACACCATACCCCCGGAAGCTTCAGAAGCCGAATTAGTCCTGCAAACCAATGCAAAACGGCGGGACCTCACAACCTGCCAGGCCCCCTGAACATGCACAAACTGGATGAACAAATAAAGCGGAACACAATTAGAATCACACAGGACGACGCATCCTCATGCCAGCATAGAATGATGTTTAAACGAAAAGGTATTTGTTTGGAACTGGTATGGGTTAACTATACGAGCCATAGTCTAAAACTCCTAGTATCCCCCTTCATAAGACCTATAATACTCCGCTGCATAATCCCGTATATAACCTCCTTTACGGCGTGCAGACTAAAGCTCATGTCATAGGATGTTTGCCTTCCAGTTGTAAAGGGAAGGCTTCCTCCTGTCATCATGTTACTTTCGTGTTCCTTCCCACCGCGTGGCCACTGGCGTCTCCTCAGCTGTCGATCCTGTTCAGGACATATTTTCGTGAGCTTTAGTTCAGGGTTTAGACTTTAGGGTTTTAAGCACGGGGTCCCCTTGGTTGATTTATTCAGCCTAGTTAGGGAGCAACCTAGAAGCGGGGATCAGACCCGGTTGCAAGCACGGGCCCCGAGGACAGGCCTTGAGAGTTTAGGGTTCAGGGGCTTGTAGACCTAACTTATGAGTTTGACTCCTGATTAGCCGGGGGGATCCCCGTAAAGTTGTTGAAAAACTATTCAGTAACCCCTATCCAAGTTGGGGACTGAAATAAGTCAACCATTTTCTCATTTTCTGGCCGAGAACCAAAGTGGAGAAGGTGTAAGTTTCTGATGAGACATAGTCTAAACCACCAGCATCTCCATCAGTAGCCCCAATAATAGTCCTCTATACACTCTCGTACGTAACCCCTTTAAGGAGTTTGGATTATGGCTCCCATGAGGCCGGAAAGCCATTGATTGTTGAGGCCAAGCCTCTAAATGTGCAGGTTTGGCTCTATTACCTTCTGCAGAACCTGAAATCTGATGCCACCAAAAGCCTGTGATTTCTTTGTGAAGTCACTAATTTCATGAGGATAGGCAATCAAATTCCAAAGGAAGTCGTCCACCAGGCACCGCACCCTGAACCTCAATAATATCGGTTGTTCTCCAAACTATGGGCCCCCTTTTGGTTGTAGATGATACCGAAACACCTAAACCCTAAACCCTAAACCCTAACCCTAAGCCCTATATCTTGAGCCCCAAAGCCTAATAAACCCTGAGCAATATTACGGCACCTAATCATGTAACCCATACACCCCAGAGCCCTCAGAAGCCAAAAGGAATCCAAGAGTCTACTCAGGCTGGGCCACGGACGAACACCACACTGCTAAGGTTGAGGGTTTAGGGCGTTTCGGGTTTAGGGTTTCAGGTTGAGGTTTTAGGGTTGAGGATTTAGGGTTGAGGGTTTAGGGTTGAGGGTTGCGAGTTTGACCATGGGTCGTTGTCTCCCTCTGCAACCTCTTAGCTTCTGAGGTGCTACCTAGACCAGGTATGCTTGGGGGTTATTTACGGTATGTAGGGCCCATGAAAAATGGAAATTGACATTTCAGGTTGAGAGGTTACATTCCTGATTAGAGAAGGTTCTATCGAGTTACCAAGACCCTTGCACACCACCGCTTTTCAGACTACCCAGTTTTGAAATTATATAGAAGATACCAGACAAAAGAGGATAGGGCATGAGAGTCTAAGTAGGGTCAAGGGAAATCACTGTACGCTTGAATGTGGCGAGCTGTATAATTACCTATTAAACGTACATAAACCCTGAACCCCAAACAGCGCGTGGCTTAACAGAGCTAAAGCCAGCAACCGTCTTCACGGATAAGCCCCTGAACATCCATGTATGTGTATATGTATATGCATATGTATGTAGTAAGAGATAGATAGATAGATAGATAGACAGATAGATAGGTCCGGTAAACAGACATATTCCCATATATCCTCATATACACCCCCATACATATTCCTGTATGTCGCTATGTGTCCCTGAAACCCCTAGATATCCCTAAACCCTCAAACTCTAAAGCCTGCACTCTAAATCCTGAACCCTAAACCCTATAAACCCTAAAACCCTAAAACCCTAAACCCCTAGATGTCCCTAGGTCCCTTGAATGCAGGTCATCCTGCCTGGGCAGAGAAGCGCATAGGCGTCGAAGTAAACGAGATCGATCCTCCCCTCCAGCTCGGCCACCTCTAGGGTTTCAGGGTTTAGGGTTTCAGGTTTTAGGGTTTGGGGTTTCAGGGTTTAGGGTTTTGGGGTTTAGGATTTAAGGTTTAGGGTTTAGGATTTGGGTTTCAGGGTTTAAGGTTTTTGTTTTAGGGTTTAGGGCTTGGGGTGTAGGATTGAGGGCTTCAGGGTTTAGGGTTTGGGGTTTAGGGCTTGGGGTTAGGAGTTAGGGTTTAGGGTTTGGGAACTTTATGAAGACAATGGGTTTAGGAACTTTCTGAAGACAATGTGGCTAAGAGCTTCTGCGGACTAATTCAGCGGATTAAGGAAACCGGGCAACCTACGGGCCTACTGCCCTGAACCCTACTAAGTTCAGAAAGATCCAATCCCACCATACCCAAAACCTTAAGAACCCTAAGCACTCTAACGCCACTACCGCTGAAACCTCAACAACTTAGAATATGGTTTGAGGTACAGTATACCATAATCACGCAAGGCTTAAACGAGGAAGTGCTCATCATCCCTTCAGGCTTCTACCCGGAAGGCCCAACACACTCTTTAGCTACAAGGAATATACCCTGAATCAGGGTTTAGGGTTTAGGGCTCTTAAAATGGTTCAAGGTATATTAAGCCCTAAGCCCTTAACCCTGTGATTAAGGGTTATTGGGCTCCCTGGGTGCTAGAAACCCAGCAGGTGTCGGGCCTGATCCAATGCGGCACACCTCGACGGCTCGTGCAAGTTGTGGTTTAAGGTTTATGGTCTACTGGCCTTTCGTTAGCTGGGAATGAAGGAATGGAAAGAAAATGGAAACTACTGTAATGGATTATATAAGGACTACTACAAGGTTTCATTCCTTCTTTTGGGTCTGTACATGCAATTTCAGAAGAGCGGTGGTTGATGTAGGACAGTCCCAACCGTATCAGCCCGCAACTTGGACCCCGTGCTGGTGGTGTCGGGCTACTGAGGGCCTATGGAAGACTGCTCTATGTGTGCGGTCGACCTTCCACCTGAAGCTGCGTCTGCATGAGGGTGCCGGATTCATGCCGCTTGCGGATTGAACCCTGCACCCTAAAGTGCCCTAAACCTCAAAATCCTAAACCCATGGTTGTTATTCTTATTACTAACTATCATCATTACTAGTCATGTTGCTATTAGTATCAGGGGAGGCCCCAGGCCTAAAGTAGTGAGAGGATGAAGGTATTGGTAACCCCAAGTTACGCGAGTAATGGAGAATCAAATGGAAAACGAAATGGACAAGGACATCGGTTTAGGGTTCGGTCAATGGAATGGGGGCTATACAATTGTTGGTGATGGCACCATAGACCTTTCGATTCGTGTGTGTGTGTGTGTCAGTTCCCACCTGAAACGCTTGCTCAAGCTGCGAGCCAAATTTTACAATCTAAACCCCAACATATTTCAGGACGATTGACAAGGTCTCTTGACCTGCCAGCACGTGAAGATTGCAGCTGAGTTCTTCTGCTGGGGCTCGTTGATGGTTTCCTTACGCTCCGTGGTACAATAGCACGAACCCACGCGGCAAAGAAAATCTGCCCATGAATACTAGCAGTTCTAGTACTAACAGTGATAGAAATGGAACAGTACAAATGATATATGATAAGAACAGTAGTAGAATGTAGTAAAATAGTGGTGATTATAGTAACCCTAAGGGTCCAAGGACCAAAATAATAGGGTTTTAGAGTCCAAACACCATTAATATTATAGCATTTTGTCCCTAAAACCCTATTATTTGGGTCCTTGGACCCTTAGGGTAAAATTCTAAGCCCTAAACCCTAAACCCTAAATCCTAAACCCTAAACCCTAAACCCCAAATGATATGGTCCCAGACTCGCAAACCACCAGCCCAAGCTGCCCGATAAAGAGAAATGCAGAATCACATGAGCTATAGTCTAAAGTCGGAGTATCCCCCTAATAAGCCCGATAATCTAGGGTTTAGGGTTTAAGGCTTAGGGATTAGGGTTTAGGGCTTGGGTTTAGGGTCTAGACTCCTAGCATCCCCTTAATATCCCTGTAATACTCCCCATCCCTTGTATAATCCCCTTCACGGAGCGTAGACTATAGCTCACACGGAAGAAAGAATGGACATGAAGTGGAAGCCGGGATTATGTAGGGGTTTACAGAGGTTCGGATCGATTACATCCGGCCTGATGTGGATTGAGAAGTACAGGTGCCACATGTTCCTGCCTACTCAGCCAGACTCATTTTTTAGCCACATCCACCCTGCGAACCCTGATTATGCTCCTATGGCCCGATCGCCTCTCCGCACATTCCTCACGGCTTCATACCCAAAGGGTCCATGTAGCTACGTAGTATATACTTGGACCGGAGGAGTTACATGGGAACCTTTTGGGCATAGGGTATATACTAAATAGCTACATGGACTCTTTGGGAAACACACCAAGCATTCCTAAACCCAAACCCTCGAATATGCCAGTGCTAGGCTTTCACATGGGGCAGTAAAAGAACCCCGTTCCCATAATGTTGTCGGTAAACTTCCTCTGACTGGGGATTTGCTCTTCAGGGACAATCCACGAGGATCAGCACATGCTGCGAAAGATTGCAACAGTGAACTGTAGCTGTGGGCAGGTAGTGGTTGAGTGTTACGAGCAGGCGAGAGATGTCGCATCACTGTACAACCTGGGCAGGGGCCATGGCGGCCATGGGCTGCCGAGGGGTCTCAAGTGCTCAAACGTGTTATTGGTAGGTTGTCGGTGGCGTTATCTGTTAAAATCATCACCTGGAATTGAAAACATTTTGATCGAGCTACTTATGTTGAGCTGTCCTTATCGGTAATTTTCCCCTGGTTATTGGTGAAGGCTTTTTATGGAAAGGGCAGGAACTTAAGGGACCTGCCAAGACTAAACCAAGAGGCACGGGGTTATTTTACTGTCCCACAAGGGTTTTTCCTGTGCAGCTCTAACAAGTGGCTGATGTAATCTCCTCATAACTGCTTTATATATCCCGACCAAAGGGCTCCTACGAAATGTAATGTACTGCTGGCAGGGGACTGTCGTACACGGCCCACGAAAAGAGCTACGTGGAAGGTTTTGAGTCCCTTGCTCAATACGTTCTCAATCCCCTAAATCTTAAACCCTAAATCCTAGGCCATAAGCCCTAAACCCTAACTCCCAAACTCTAGGCCCTAAGCCCTAAACCATAAATCCTAAGCCCCAAACCCTAGACCCTAAGACCAAGCCACAGGGCCGTAGCATCCAGAGAGTCGGAGGCAACACCTGCTTTGGAATGACGGTCTTATGCTCAAACTCCTACGTAGTTCTTTTGATAGGAACCTTGTAATCCCTTACCACAAAACAAGCTCAAAAAGGAACTGCAAAGGAGCCCTTGCGTAGGGACTTGGTGACTTGGGGCTTAACAACTGAAGGAGTGAAGTCTGGGATTGAAGGACTGCAGGGGGATGCGACTTTAACAGCTCTTGGGAATACGTTGTGTCTTGGGGGTCTGTGGCCAGCATAGTGTTTTGGGAGAGCAGGCTGTCAAATCTTAGTTGCGTTCAGCTGCATCAAACATCGGGGACGCATTTCTCCAACAAACTCTCCTTAGAACAGGCTCCTCGACCGGGCTTTAAAAGCCCATCTAAAATTTGCACCCGCCTGGCGCGATCTGGCAGGTTTCAAAAACCCTGGCTGGCTAACACTCATCCAGCGCCATGCTGCGGAAATGCACGATACAGGCTTAGGCAACAATTTGCAACACTGATTCCTTTTTGGGCTCCACAATTTCAAGCTTGCATCTCATAGAGCAACATAAAGACGTGGACAGCTTCGTTGTATGAAGTATTGCGTGACCCCGGCTGCTGTAGCGCTGATTTCTCAAGCGCGTTTGCCCCGCAGCCACTTCTGCTCAGACTGAGGGTAGGAAACCATCCTAAACTCTAAACCAGTCTTGAGAATCTGGTCAGCTTCCTGCGGTATGGTTCCCTCTGTATTATCGTCATGCGCGGTGTGACCTAAAGCTTCCCGCGCCGAACCAGGACGATATCTTGCCTGTTCCACATCGGCACAACCATCTGACAGCCGTTTTTGCAGCCATCAAGTTTTTGCAGCTAATATGCCAGCGCCATGAGCACAAGTAGAGCTTTTGACTCCGATGTCATCTTTCATTCAACTTGAGATGTCCTAGGATGCAGTGCTCTCCTAAGTGAGTATTCCTGGAAATGCGCAAGACAAAAACTTGGGATCCTCGCTGATAACGGGTCGATTTGGGTACTGGCCGCCTCAAAGTATGCACTAGACATGAGATCTACTCCGAAGTCAGCCGGAAAAATCTCTTACGCTAGGAAATTCAATCTCCAACCTAGCCTGTCCTCAACATACTGGTGCCTAAGTATCCTGGACATGTTCTCCACATGTACCACTACCACTATGATAGTATCAGCATTCAATTCCCTACTCTCCCTAAACCCGAAGCCCTAAAGCCTAATCCCTCAACCCTACCTGAGCCCAACACCCTAAAGCCCAATCCCTAAACTCTATATAAACACTAAACCTAATCTCTAAACGCTATACAAACACAAAACCCTGAAGCCCAAAGCCTAATTCCTAAACCCTATATGAGCTATTGTATAAACTCCTAGTATCCCCCTTACCCCTTAATAACCCCTATAGTAGTCCCTATATAATCCCCTATATAACCCCCTATATAACCCCCCTTTACGGAGTTTAAACTATAGACCCTAAACCCTAAACCCTTACGGGACCCGGGCCGGTACGGTAGGCGAAGGATCGCTCGCCGTCGTCGGCAACAAGGCAAAGGACCTCTCCACTGTCAAGGTCGAGAGCCTCTCGCGGTTTAGGGCTTAGGGTAGAGGGTTAAGGATTTAGGGATTAGGGTAAAGGGTTTAGGGTTTAGGGTAAAGGGTTTAGGATTTAGGGCTAAGAGTTTTGGGGTTTAAGGTTTCAGGGTTCAGGGTGTGTATATATATATATAGTGTTTAGGATTTGGGATTTACGGTTTCAGGGTTTAGGGTTTCAGGGTTCAGAATCTATATAGGGGCCGGGTTCAAAGTTCAGGATCTGTATATAGAGTTTGTTCAGTGATTTAGGGTCCAGCGTCTATATTGGGTTTTAAGGGGTGTGGGGTTCAGGGTCTATATAAGGGGTTTAAAGAGTTTTGTAGGGTTCAGATCATATATTGAGTTTTGAGGCAGACCTGGTGTGGGGCATAGGTTCAAAGCCCCCTCATCTGAGAATGTACCATGTGTATTCAGAGCCCCTCATCTGAGAATGTACCATGTATGCCCTACTTGCATAAGGACGTTAATCACACCTACAGCCTTTTAATATCCCAAGTATACCCCGTTGCTAACCTATTCTTACTCAGTCCCCCTAACCTTTCAAGTAGAGGTTGAGGTGGTCAAGCGGCTGGCGCGTTGACCAAATCTTCCTGACATTCTAGGTGAGTAGGGCTGACATCACCAAGCGCTTCTGAAGAGAGGGCAACACCCTGAGCAGGCATCACTGTGACATGATGCAAGAACAATACACCGCGGCATGCTGCAACGGAGCGCACAATTCAGAGCTGCCAGACTTGCATTGTTTAATTTTGAACAACAAGTGTCAGTTCTTCGCACTCTGACCCCGCTTCTCAGAGCCAAGCATATGCTTGATCGAGACACCGTACAGAGCGGATTTACAGGTTCGGACTGAAGTCTATGGCTTGGAATCAGGCGCGCTCTCTGGGGTCTCAGAATTATGTGACCTAGAGGTGTTCTTTGAGCAGTATCAAAAGCTTTTGTCTAGCCTCGCCTGACAAGCCCCTTTAGGACTTAGAGCCCTGCATGGTGCTGCACTTCTGGACGTCCCATGGTCCCATAGTACAAGACACCCACACCTCAAACCCAAACCCTGAAGCTTCAAATCACCCAACCAAAGGGTCCAGGTACCTATATACTACCAAACTACCCTCCAAGGGGGTTCCCATATAATTACTTTAGTACCAAAGCATGTACCAGACGGCTACATAAACCCTTTGGGCAACACCTTAACATTTTTCAAAAACATCTAAAATTATGAGCCTTAAGGCCTTAACCGCTTGTGTGGAGCACTTGGCATGGTGGCCTTGGGGCAGAGGTCTACCATGCCAAGTTGATGCAATGCCTCACGAAATTGGCTGCCCACCTGGCTAGTGACTTTCCCAAAGTGTCCATGTAGGGATATAGCATATAATTACTTGGGCCCTAAAGAAGGTATATGGGAATCCTTTGGGCAATATGTATCTAATATATACCTACGTGGACCCTTTAGGTTTTCTGGTCTTTGGATCAAGTAGGCTTGCCATTGCCATCTTACTAGGAATAACTACCACGCGAAAGAAACTCGAAACATACCCTATACTGGGAACTATAGCAGCAGCATTGCAAAATGCTACTCCCCTGGTTTTTGAATCTATGAGCTTCAGGCGCTCAGGGATTGGAATTGAAGGCTTAAGGCCTACAAGGCCCTTACTTGGTGCTTGGAATCTAGTGTTTGGCGTTTAAAGGTCCCTTAGCTAAGCCGGTGTGGGAACCCTGGCTTGTTTCAGGAGTGCTGTGACTCTCTGCTATGCTCATTCTCCTTCCCGCCAGGGGCCAAACATGGAACTAAACCCTAATCCCAAGACCCTGCACCACCCTTCTCCCAAAACCTTAAAAACGAAACACTAATCCCAGAACCCTGAAGCCTGAACTAGGCCCTTCTTGAGGTTCCATCTTGTTTCGCGGGACTGCGACTCACACCCATGCTTGCAAACACTCTTGTATGTTTTAGGATATATTGGGCATAACAACACGGGGAACCTCCATATAGACCCGCAGGTATTATAATCCTTATTATTGGGACTCTAATCTATGGGAACTCCCACAATGCAGCCCTTTTGCCTGGATCGCTGAAGGGGGGATCTTTGGTTCAAGAAATTCCTACCCAACACCTATCAGAAACGGGGTCCTGGAAGGAGGGGTTTCGGGCTTAGTTAGGGTTTATTAGCGTAGCCTCCAATCCCTACATCCAGATGAATCCACGGCGATCCTCATTCAATCTACTCTACTGCCATTCGCCGATCCTAAGTCCTGATCAGCATAATAACCCCTGAACGTCCCCCATACTGTTGATGCTGTAGCAGATCTTCATCAGTATGCGTAAAAACTCCGAAACGTCCCCCATACTGTTGATACTGAACATTCTGGGGTACTAAGGGTCATGCAGGTCCTTAAACCCTAAACCCTAACCCCTAAAGCCTATATGCATCTTCATACCCCCCTGAAAGGTACCTAGGACCAAAAGTCCTAAACTCTAGAGCCTACACCCTAAACCCTGAACGGCGCCCACCATGTCGCCACCCACGCAGCCGCAGAAGAAAGTCTTGCATCCCAAGCACGCCAGGACCTTGCGCTTTCTGAAACTGCAGATGTGGAGGCCTGAATAGATTATATTAGGGTTATATGAGGGTTAGAGTAGGGTTATATTGGGGTTATAGCGGGGTTATAATAAGATTTGGGGGTTTAAGGTTTAGGTTTTTTCTCGGACCTTGCTCCATCGCACGAGGCTTAAGAGATGCCAGTGGGCATGGTCCTGTCCCTGTTGTGCCCTTTACACACCCAGACAGGGTTTAGGGTTTAGGGCTTAGAGTACCTTGTACAGGGTTTAGGTAGGCGATGTGCTCTGCAAATTAGAAGCCTTTTGGGGCTTCTATACTAAGGATTATAGTATTTTCGGGTCTATATTATTGAGGTTCCTATAATTATATCAATTATGAAAACTACCCGGCAGGGCCTAATAGCTAGAGTTGGTTTTTTGGGGGGATATATTGTACTATGATATATACAAGGATGACGATGGAATGACCCTGTTGGTTATGGAGGCTTCTCAGGTTCCTGGGTGCTTCTTGACATCTTGCAGGGTGTAGCGTTTAAGGTGCAGTTGAGGGACCTACGTACTTTCCCTTTGAGGGACGGACTGTCTGAGATACTTCTACCCGGCATGCCTTTTGGGGATTCCTTCTAGCAAATATGTTCTGCGCAAGGAATCCACAATTGCTGTTTAGGGTTTAGGGTTGGCAAGGCTACTCTAAACCCTAAGCCTTAGTTTGAGGCTTGCACACATCAGGTTTCAGGCGTTATGGCTGGGCTCTAATCCAACCCATGTCTGGTCTACTGTAGTTTTTAGAGATAACACGCATGGAGGCTGAGCCTTCTTTGCAGCTTCCTGAATACACCACA